CTAGGAGTTATTTATCAGTCACGCTGTTTGTGGCTCAGATATCTTTATTGTTTTCCAGTGTTTTTTGTTGAGAATTGTCTGTTGATTAATAATAGAGTCATTTTCATTGCTTGCTAAGGTTTTCTGGAGTGATATTAAAAATGACAAAACAGGCTGGTTTTAAATATTTTTAAAAATTTATTTTATTTTATTTTTTAATTTTAAAGATGTGGAATACAATTCAGGATTAGGTATACAAATGTTCATTATGCAGGTACCCTAACAAGGGTTCCCTAACTAGTATGAGGTGTGCCCGTCCCTCCCCTGACAGTTTCCCTCAACTGCCAATCCCACCCCCCTGGCAGTTTCCTACTACTGCCAATCCCTTTCTTATATTATAATAATTGTTCAAGGTGTGTTTATGAGTGAGAATGTATGGTACTGTTCTTTGTTTTTGTGATAGATCACTCACTGAGTATGATCGATTCTAAATCCATCCAAGTTGCTGCGAAGTCCATATGTTTGTCCTTCCTTATGGCTGCATAATATTCCATCGTATGTATGTACCACATTTTTAAAATCCAGCCCAGCTTTGATGGGCAGTCATGATGGTTGGTTCCATGTTTTTGCTATTGTGAATAGAGCTGCAACAAACATGTGTGTGCAGGTTTTTTTGTAGAGTGTTTTGAGTTCCTCTGGGTATATTCCCAAAAGGGGAATTGCTGGGTCATATGGAAGGTCAATTTCTAGTTCTTTCAGAAATCACTGTCTTCCAAAGAGGTTGCACTAGTTTGCCTTCCCACCAGCAGTGTAGTGTAGAAGTGTTCCTTTTTCTCTGCATCCTCGCCAGCATCTGTTGTTAAAACAGTCTGTTATAAAACGGAATGAAGCTCTGATAATGCTACAATATGGATAAACCTTCAAAACATTATGATAAGTGAAATGAGCCAGACACAAAGGGACAAACATTGTATGAGTCCACTTATGTGAGGTACCTAGAATAGACATATTCATAGAAACAGAAATTTTAGATTACCAGGGGCAAAAGGGAGGAGGAAAAAGAAAGTTATTGCTTAATGGGTAGAAAGTTTCTGTTTGGGGTGGTGATGAAAAATGTTGGAGGTAGATAGTGGTTATGGTGCCCAGCATTGTGAATGTAACTAATGCTGCTGAACTATACATATAATATGATAGAAATGACAAATTTTATTTTTTACATATTTTACCATCATAAAAAGCATATATATTTTTAAAAGGCTTTGTACAATGAGATAGTTGGTGAGAATTCCTGACTCTGCGTTAAACGGTGTAGAAGTGTTCCTTTTTCTCCATAACAGATATCAGGATTATAGTGTATCAGGCAAGTTCCAACAGTTTGATGGTAGAGAGAACGATTTTAAATATCTTATTTTTGCTAAAAGATGAAACTGGAATATTCTATGGGTTACCTAAAGTGTTGAAAAGTTTGTTGGAGACAACAGTTCTTTATTTGGTTTTCTATTTGTATTTCCTTTTTGGAAATTGTCTTTGATATAAAGCTGATAGTTGGTTGAGCAAACTGGCAGTGTACCTAGCATGTTTTATGCCCAGAATGAATCATTTCTACACCTTCACTTTGTATGAGAAAATTAGTTTCAGTAATAATCATGAAATGAATAATAATAATAATGATCAGAAAGGAAGTAAAGACAGTGACACGTTGCTTTATTAAACTTTGAATGTACATTTATGCTAAACAATAGAAAAGGAAAAAGTAAGGAATGACATTTGAAAGTTATGTTATTATATTTTTGAGGCTGAGTGCAGTGGCTCATACTTGTAATCTCAACACTTTGGGAGGCCTAGCTGGAAGGATTGCTTGTGCTCAGGAGTTTGAGGGCAGCCTAGGAAACATAACAAGACCTCTCTACAAAAAAAATAAAAAGAAAATTAGCTGCATGTGGTGGTGCATGTCTGTAGTCCAAACTACTTGGGAGGCTGAGATGGGAGGATAACTTGAGCCCAGAAATTCAAGACTGTGGTGAGCAATGATCATGCCACTGCACTCCACCCTGGGGTATACAGTGAGATTTTGACTCTTAAAAAAAGAGAGAGAGAGAGAGAAAGAAAGAAAATTATGTTAATGTATTTTTGTAATAAAGGAAAAACTTGCACCTACATGTTGGTCTGTTTTAGTAATGAGTAATGCTATTACAGGTTAATAAACATTCAAAGAACAATGAAAAAGAATGCATTTTAATTGTAAAGATATTTAGTAAAATATTATTCAATGAAAATATTTATATTCATCTTACATATAAACTAAAATTTATACTTAGCAAACACAAAAAAATTATATCTCACAGCTTGCTTTACTAATTTAGTTTTAAACACACATGAAAACTCCAAGTGACAGAGAATGGAATTGAAGTAAGTCAAATTCTGTTTGTGTCTTCTTTAGTCACTATACCATCATTGTTTATTTAGAATCTATTATTTCAGAGTAGGACATAAGTAGTATTGTAGGAGTTACAAAAAGGGACTCAGTCTTAAAATGAATTGGAGATTACAAATTGTTACAAATTTACTCTTTCTAAACTAAGGTGACTAGCTGGTATTCCAGTCTGAAATGTCCAGGGCTAACTATTTAACAAAGAATTCTTTGAATTAACTCCCAGGTAAAATATATTTACTAAAGTTCAAGTAATAAAAATGTGCTAATTTGAAGCTTACTGATATGTTATTAAAAGTCAATGATAACTGCAGCAATTGGAACTTAGGCCAACAAAAGATTTTTGTGTGTGTGGAGTGGACAAGAGTACGTCGTTACTGACTTTATTTGGAATAGTCACTGCAAGTATGTAATAAAAAGCAGATTAACTTTAGTTGGTTTTACTATTGTTTTAAAATCCTCTAAGGCAATGCCTTATTTTTTTTTTTTTTTGAGTTGGAGTTTCACTCAGTTGCCCAGACTGGAGTGCAGTGGCCGCTCCCGGCCACTGCAACCTCGACCTGCTGGGCTCTGGCAATCCTTCCGCCTTAGCCTTCCGAGTTGCCGGAATTACAGGCATGCGCTACCATGCCCAGCTGATTTTTAGATTTATTGTAGAGATGAGGTCTCTGCCCAGGCGGGTCTCGAACCCGCGGGCTCAGGCAATCCACTCACCTCAGCCTCCCAAAGGCGTGGGATTACAGGCTGAGCCACTGAGCCCGGCGGCAATGCCTTATTTTCCTTACCTGAGCAAACTGCTTCCATTGTCTCATCCTTGGTACTCCACTGGTACAAGTTGTATTACATTACTGTTTTATGAATATATTGTGTATTAAAAAAAACTTCATGAAAAAATATCAAAAATGAAAATCATTATTTCTCGGGAGGTACAGGTCACCCTACATAAACCCTGCTGCCACCATCGCAGCTGGTTCTCACCTGCAAGCGCCACCTACTGGCTTGGAGGTCGACTTGCACAGCCCATTGCAACAGGAGACAAGCTTCTCCCTAACTTTGCTACCACCATCACCCAGGCAACCCAGACTATCCATGAGGTTGTAAGTCGGCTCACTCACCAGGTACACTTGCGACTACAACCAGCACTTTAAAAAGCCACCACACTAAAACTATTTATAACCAAAGAAATCATACAGTTTCTGCCACTGAAAGCACCCAGAAGCAAACAGCCAAAGAACCCTACTCAACACACATCATAGTCAGATTCTCAAGATAAAAAAGTCCTGCCCCCATGAAAGTTTATCAAAAAATAAGACGCAACTGCTTCTCCAAATGGGAAGAAATTAGTGTAATAATACTAGAAATATGAAAAAGTAAGGTATTATGGCACGTCCTCAAAGGAACGCAGTAATTCTTGGGTGCAGTGGTGGCAAGAATCCTGGGATGACAAAGAGAAGCTGTCATGGTGAATAGGAAACAGCATGGCAATGACTCCATTTTCTGGGGAGGGGGATGTCTCTGCAGCTCAGACTCTAGGAGGCTAGTCCATTTTCAGGGAAGCAATATACTACAGTTGTTTGATCTGGAGGTTGGCGTGTCTCTGTTCAGCCAATGCCCTGTTTCCTTGGGACATGGGGTGTCTTGTCAGCTCAGCCCTGTAAGGTTCTGCTGCTCAGCTCAGCCATGACAGAGATTCTCTATGAAGTGATACTCTTCATCTGAGGGCATGAATTTCATGGGCAGCCAAGAAGTCATTTAACCCTGGGACAGGACACCACTTCGACTCTGGTGGTGGGAGGCACAATTGCACTGGGTGGCCAACGCACTGTTTCCCAGGTTGGGTAGGATGTCAAGTCATTTCAGACTTCAAGGGAGAGTGAGCAAACATGACAAGGAGGGTGGAGTGGCTCTGTGGTGGCTTGGGACCACAGGGTGGAGTATGGCAGAAGCTTGGCTGGGGGGAGCAGGTCAGCAGGTAGGGGAGGTTCAAAGGCAACAAAGCCTCAGGGATAGAAGAGTGCTGTGGCTACTCTCTTCTGGCGCAGGACATACTCTAGAAGTCATTCTGGCTTCAAGATGGCACAGCACAGTAGCAGTGCAGGCCACAGGGTGGGGTGAGTGGTGATTGGGGATGGAACATAGCTTTAGCGCCTTCTCTTGAGGGAGCACAGTTGTGTAGACTCCAAGCAGCTCACTCAGCAGCATTTAGCATCTGTGAGGGCTACAAGTGGTCCCAGTGGTGAGGACTATGGGCGATCACAGTGGTCATTGTGGTGACTGGTGGTGGGCTGGAGTCCTCTTGTTTGCCTCTTTTCTGTGGGGAGAAGTCCCTCCTGGTTCCCAGCTGACCCAAATGTGGGATAGGGTGACAGAGGTGAAGTGTTTTCTTTCCTTTTCTCTGTGACCATCCTGGGCTTTTGTGCTCTACAGTGGTTTTGTTTCTCCTATGATGTACTCTGATGCTCATCTCATGTTATTTTCATGAAAATGTAGTTGTTGGGCATCAGTGTGGTGGTGGTGGCAAGGAAAGTGCTCGGCGGATCCCTTCCCGGTGTTTTCTGAGAAAAGCAGCATCTACCACACAGTGTCCATTATGTTCTCTTTCAACATGTTCGATTACTGGATTCCCTGGGTCTTCCAAAACCGCATCTCCACACAGTACCGCTGCTTCTCAGTGTCCCATGCTAGCAGGGTCTAATGGCAGTAATTATGTCACCCTCAGCCCTTGATCAACTTAGCTGACTTAACATTACCTATTCTATGCTATTCAAACTGACTAATAAGAATTCAGACCGCATGATGCACTGTGGCATGCTGGAGTTTGTGGCTGATGAGGGCATCTGCTACCTCCCACATGGATGATTCAGAACTTGCTCTTGGAAGAAGGAGGCCTGGTCCAGGTGGAGAGTGTCAATTTTCAAGTGACCACCTACTCCGAATTCCAGCCTCAGAGCCCTGTTTTCTTGGACATCACCAATGCCAAAGCTGTATTAGAAAATGCGCTGAGAAACTTTGCCTGTCTGACCACTGGAGATGTGACCGCCATCAACTATAATGAGAAGATCTATGAATTGCGACTGATGGAGACCAAACCTGACAAGGCTATGTCCATCATTGAGTGTGACATGAATGTGGACTTTGATGCTTCGCTAGGCTACACAGAACCTGAAAGACAAGTCCAGCACGATGAGTTGACAGAAGGTGACACTGACCACAGTGGTTATGCTGGAGAGCTGGGCTTCCAGGCCTTCTCCAGGTCTGGAAATAGGCTAGATGGAAAGAAGAAAGGAGTCGAGCCTAGCCCCTCCCCAATCAAGCCTGGAGACGTTAAAAGAGGAATTCCCAGTTATGAATTTAAACTTGGTAAGATCACTTACCAAGTTCATCAGAAATTCATGTCCACTGTTCAAAAGGTTGAAGAGGATGAAGCTGGATGCAGATTTGTCCCTTTCTCTGGAGAAGGACAGTCATTGTGTGAAAAGGGAAGAAAGCCTTGAGCTGGAACTGTTAGCTGATTGAAAAACAGTAAAAGAATCATTGCAACATACTGGCTTTCAGTTACTAGTGCCGTCATGGATGAAGCTCATCAGAGAACGGTCTGTTACTTGAGGCTGGTTTAGAGTCACCTAAGAACTACTGAGTTTGACTTGGAAGTGGAGCTGCAGCATTTCCTAGTTGTGTGCTTGCTTTCAGGAAAGAGAAAGAGCTGTCTCTGAGGTCCTGTGGGCAGCCAACCCCTCACCACTTCACACTTTCAGCTCTAGGGGGCTCCCACTGCCTCAGTAGGAGCAAAGCCCCCTAATTCCTGACAACACCAATGGAAGGCTGAAGGCCCAAGAGAATTGTCTAACTTGGAGGTTTTCCTTCTCTTTCTTCTTTAATCCTTTCCCCAGGTTGATTGCATCGGTGTTGTCTTTGGACTTGAAAAAAGTGGATTAAGTAGCTATGTGCTTTATAAATAGTGGCTGTCCCACTACTCTGGCTGCAGTTTGAGTGTTTGAGAAAGGGTATTTCTGTTTTTACTTTAAAGATTTTTTTTTCAAAAGCACCACTCCTCAGAAGCTGATCTGAATGAGTTGCACTTTTATTTTGATTTCTTATGGAAATAACTGATGCCATAGTGAACCTGTTCTAAAGTAAAGTAACTCCATGGAGGAGCACAAATGTGAATGTTAGAATGAATATATGCTAAATATGTGTTCCTCTTTCTCTTTCTTTTATACCTCCAACTCTCAATTTTAATTTATTAAAACAACCAAGGTTCTGCTGGCCTGCCTTTATTTTTGATTAGTATTAACTTGGGCTTAGATCTTTATCTTCTAAAATGTAAGATCTTTTGCCATGCTAATCCAATTATCTTAAACTTGTACCCTGATAATAATTCTGAATCAAGAAGTTCAAATAAAAACAGGCAATGACTAAAAAGCAAAACAAAGCAAAAATGTGGTTGTTTATGTATTCATTTGGCTGTCTTTGTGGAGAGACAAGCCTAGGGACTTCTAGTTAGCCATATTGCTGACATCTAAAACTATGAATTGTAAAGGTTCACTTGCATTAATAAATATAATGAAATACAAAATCTAGTGTTTTCAGTGTGGAAAAGTTCTTGTGAATAGAAATATAAAGTCAGACAAATTGAAAGAACACTTTAGGTCTATTTATTCTGAAAATACATTAAAACAAGTTGTAAGTATATACTTTTTGTGTGTGTGTGTGTGTGAAGAACAAACTGAGACACTCACTCATAATCATGATTTGCTGATTCACTGAAATCTTTTTGTAGTGCACACAGATTGCTTCTAGATTGCCAAACAAAAGAAGTATGATTTGAAGGAGATTTAGCCAAGTCATTTTCTCTGAAAATGGAACAGGTGGTTGGTGGATATAAACTCCAGAAAAACTTCAAGCTATTTCTTGGATATAGATGAAATTTTTTCTGAGGTAGTTATATTTCTTTAAACATTTTGGAGTAAATCATCGAGGAATAGCATTTCTCTTGGATGTGTAACTGGTGAAACTGCAGACATTTCTCAATCTAGCACCTTTTAAAAAATCCTGTTTGCCTTGCCCATGCTGATGCTATCGGAGAATTCTTGTACTATAAGATATTTTTGGAAACTATGAAAGTTAATTGATATTTTGGAAATTATTGTTTTTCCTAAAGAAAACTTTGGAAAGAAAATCTTCGCACTGCTCAGATGAAGCTTCTATGGTGTTTGGTGATGCATCTGGTATTGATACTTTAGTGATGAAGAGAGCTCTCACTTTCTTGCTCATTACACTTTATTTTTATTTTATTTTATTTTTTTTGAATTGGAGTCTCACTCTGTCGCCCAGACTGGAGTGCAGTGGCCGCTCCCGGCCACCACAGCCTCGACCTGCTGGGCTCCGGCCATCCTTCCGCCTCAGCCTTCCAAGTAGCTGGAACTACAGGTGTGCGCTACCACACCTGGCTAATTTTTGATTTATTGTAGAGATGAAGTCTCACCAGTTGCCCAGGCGGGTCTCGAACCTGCGGGCTCAGGCAATCCACTCACCTCAGCCTCCCGAGGCGCAGGATTACAGGCTGAGCCACCGAGCCTGGCTGTTCACTACACTTTATACCAGCATTCTCTGGCAACACAATTGTTTCCAACAGCACTGAAAGTCAATAGCCTTAATAGGCATCAGAAGTTATGAGAAGCTGGGCTTCATGTTGTTACAGGCCAAGAAGAGGCCATTTTGTTTACATTAGATCAGTCATTTAGAAAATACTTAGAAACTTGCTTTGTAGCTGAATTGGGCTAAAGGTAGAAGCCACTTGAATTTAAAAGTGCACATTTTTCCTTTCCCCTCATCACTGCCCTTGGAATACAGCACTGCTTCTCCTCTTCTAACACAACCTTGCCTCACTGGTTTGTAAGACCAATTTTATCTAGCAAGCTGGTGCTAAAGTAAAATGCAGTTGTTCACAACAAGTTAGAGAAATAAGGGAGTTACATGTCCCTGAAGAAGTCTTTATGAGATTAAAATGGACTCTGTTGAAACTTCTTGCTCCCTCTGTTATAAGCCAGGACTCTGGAAACAGGGGTTTGTTACAATTGTCTTTTAAAACAATTTAAACCTATCATTTTTAGATATTGTGGCTTTCCCTTCCTTTCAAATGTTGCAATTGTCTGCTTCTTCCTCAAAAAAAATTGAAAAAAAAAATGTTGTAAATGCCAAAATGTTATCTAAATTGTCAGCATGACTAGGAAACTTTGTGTCGTGTCAGTGGTCACATATTAGAAAATGTTAACATAGATCTTGAGTTATGCTAAATTAAAATGCACATAGGCTTTGAACTTGGGGTGGGTGAAGGGCTATGAAATTGAGTATAAATACTGAATGAATTTTTGTTGCTTTCAGCAGGTTTTTTTGGTAATGATGTTGCCTCATCTCCCTGTAATCCAGTTGCAGACTAAACTTATTTTGTCCCAACTTTCTGTCTCGTCTTTAATTGACTGTGAGGAAAACAGCCACTTTATTGAATTGGACCATAAAAGTATCCTTAAATTTAAAAAAAGGATGATATAAGGTGCTTGTTTACCACATAAAATTTGTCTGGTGTTCATGGCTTCCAGGAGAAGTTTAATTTTTAAAATGAAAATTTTATGTTTGCTATTCAGACAGATATTTTTGATCATGAAAATAAAAAGGTATTTTCTGTATTTTTAAATTACTTTTAGAAACTTAAAATAATTTAATCAAATTTTCTTTTTAACTAAAATGGCGATATGCAATTCCTAATCAAGACTTTCAAATTATATTATCTTAAAATTATTTTTTTAGTTTCTTAAAGGTATAATTGACAAATAGAACTGCATATGTTTATGGTGTAAAGTGCAATATTTTAATATATGTATACATTGTGACATGACTAAATTAAGCAAACTAGCTTATCTATCACTCCATGTATTTTTTTTTTTTGTGGTGAGAAGTTTAAGATTTACTCTCTTAAGCAATTTTCAAGTATACAGCAATTTACTATTAATACAGTCACTGTGCTATGTAGTATATCTCTAGAATTTATGCACTCTGCCTAACTAAAACTTTGTACCCCTTGACCAACATCTCTTTTTTCCACCCATTCACCCTCAGCCCCTTGCAACCACCATTCTAGTCTCTGTTTCTATGAGTTTGACTTTTCTATATTCCACATGTAAGTGACAATATTTGTCTTTTTGTGCCTGGCTTGTTTTACTTACCATAATTGTCTCCAGGTTTATCCATGTTCTTGTAAATGATAGGATTTCCTTCTCTATTTAAGGCCGAATACTTTTCCACTATGTATATACATATCACATTTTAAAATCAGTTCAGCCAGGCTCGGTGGCTTAGCCTGTAATCCCGCACCTTTGGGAGGCTGAGTGAGTGGATTGCCTGAGCCTGCAGGTTCTAGACCTGCCTGGGCAGCGAGACCTCATCTCTACAATAAATCAAAAAATCAGCCGGGCGTGGTAGCGCATGCCTGTAATTCCAGCTACTTGGAAGGATGAGGCGGAAGGATCGCCGGAGCCCAGCAGGTCGAGGCTGCGGTGGCTGGGAGCGGCCACTGCACTCCAGTCTGGTTGACAGAGTAAGACTCCAACTCAAAAAATAAATAAATAAATAAATAAATAAAAATAAAAAATAAAATCAGTTCATTCATCGATGGACACTTAATTTGGTTCCACATCTTGGTTATTATTAATAGTTGAAAGTATTATAGTCACCATTATGAGTGCAACTAAAAATTAACAGTTTTCTTGATGTAGCTAGAGGATAGTCTCTTTCTATATCATGTATTTCTGCACTACATGACTTCTTTGTAATGAGCATCTTTTGTCATTATAATGAGAAAAAATTGGGTTTTGTTAAATGTAAGTATTTTGGCAGCAGTCTGATCTTTGTAATTATACTTGATGAAAGCTAATGTAATCAAATAAACCAACGCTTGTTCATTACTTTACATGTCATTAGGTGAATTACACATCAGAACAGCCCTCTGAGGGAAGCAAAAAGGTTTTATTGTTCTTTGGTCACCTCTCCAGGACTCTCATTGGCTTAGTGACTTGCCTAATTGATGCTAACAAGTGGAAGAGCATGCAGTCCACAAACTGCAAAACTGGTGCCATGTCCCTAGGGTAATATTAACATGAAAATATCATTTCTTTTCCATAAGGAAAAGCTGAACAATTGAAGGAACAGGCAGCATATGGGCATATTGGATATCAGAAAGTGATTCTTTCATGTAAAATGTGCCAGAGAAAAATCACAAAAATCAAATATCTGAACTTAATGCTGTAAAATGCTATATATAACAGGCAAAAGAAAATGATTGAAGACTGTTTTCTATTGAATATTGCTACAGTTTTGCTTTCTTTTGACTTCTCTTGTGACATCCTTGCTTGGGTGGCAGACCATTCATATCTGAGATAACAACATCTTAAAAACTTCCTTGACATATTTGTTGTGGAGTGTGAAGATGAGAAAGTTGAAAGGTGGGGTAATGACTGAATAGAAAATAGCCACAATCTTGT